AGAACAAGCCCAAAAACGAGACGACCCCGTGCCTCAACATTGTGGACTGGGCAACCGGCAAGCAGATGGTCATCAGGCTCCCGGACCGAGAGTCAGCAACCATCCGCCAGGCGTGCCGCAAGTACTGGTCGAGGTCCTACGGCAGACCGAAGCGCATCACCAGCGACCAGGAGAAGTGCATGATCAGGGGGATCTTCGCAGACCGGGCGACCGCGGAGGGCGCCGAGCTGGACCCAGTCGGAGCGGAGAGCGAGTGCCAGAACGGGAGGACGGAGACCGCAGGACAATTGTGGAAGAGGACCTACTACCGCATCAGGCTGACCGAGACGATCTTAAATACCGGGGACCAGGAGGAGCTGTTTGACGCCGTCAACTGTGCGGTGAACGAGAGAGGGGCCGACCTACGGGTGTTTGGACGTGGAGTTCGACTACCGGAGGGCGCGCATGAGGACGACGAGGGCGTGAGCCTGGAGACCGTGTCCCGCCACTCTGCGGGGGATCGGGCCCTTGCAAGGTCTATTGGCTTACGGCTGGCAGCGCGAGAGGCCTACGCTCGGGAATCAGTTCTGGTCAGGCTGGACAGAGCCAAGAACAGGAGGAGCACCCCGTTCCGAGGCGACTGGAAGCCGGGCGACAAGGTCTACTACTGGAGGCAGCATGGACCGAAGCGCGAGGCCTGGGAGCACTGGAGAGGACCAGCCACCGTCATCAGCACCAACATCCCCGGGAAGGCCTACCTGTCCTACCAGGGCGGAGTCATCCTGTGCAGCTGGAAGCAGCTGAGGGCGGCTACCCCGGCGGAGGTCCAAGCGAACCGCGACGTGGCGGAGACCGGCGGGGTGCGCAGGCCTGGCGGGGCCCAAAGGAAGCGGGCGGTGGAGGACATCTCGGACCAGCTGGACCCACCGGAGCTTGAAGAACGTTCCCGACCCGAAGGTGCACTACCGGAACACGAGCAGAAGCAGGAGAGAGAGGCCCACATCCTAGTTTCCGAAGTACTCTCACCAGGAGACGGAGAAGAAGCTGAGGGACAGGCGGTGAAATGCCTAGGAGACGGATCGCCGCCCAGAGGAGCGCCCAAGAGGCCTACTCACCAGCGCCAGTCCCCGAGAGGGCCGATCCAGCAAAGAAGTCAGTGGACGAGACGCCGGAGATGCCGGCGGCCTACCTCTCCATCAGGCAGGCGGCGAAGCGAAAGGAGGTGAAGCTCAAGGACCTGACCGACGAGGAGAAGGGGGAGTTCAAGGAGGCGAAGGCGACCGAGTGGAGCAACATTAAGGGCGCGAGCGCCATCCGCCTCGTGCCACCGAGCGAGGCGAACGAGATCAGGAGGACCCAGGGCGACAGGATCATGCCGAGCCGGCGCTGCTTCACGTGGAAGCCGAAGGACGGACGCAGGGTGGCGAAGTGCCGCTGGGTCGGACGCGGAGACAAGGACCCGGACCTCGCCGAGCTGGAGACCTATTCGTCCATGTTCTCGAAGGAGGCCTGGATGATGAGCATGCAGCTGAACGTGTCGATGGGCTGCGACATGGAGCTGGGAGACATCAGTTCCGCGTTCATGAACGGCTACAAGTACCAACGAAAGCAGGGGCCACTCTACTGCGAACTACCTGAAGACGGAGTACCAGGAGCAGAGCCTGGATTGCTGCTGGAGGTGCTGGTCTATGTCTACGGCCTGGGGGACGCGCCGCTGCAGTGGTACAAGAGCTTCACTACTGAGGCGTTGGCGGCCGGCTTCAAGATCAGCTCCTACGATCCATGCCTGCTCTACCTGCACAAAGACGGCAAATGCCACGGGTCACTGGCGCTGGCGGTGGACGACGCTTGCGGGGGAGGAGATGCATACTTCCAGGAGGCGATGGAGAATATCAAGCAGAGGTTCCCTTTTGGCAAGTACCGGAAGGGCAAGGGTGACTTCCTGGGCAAGCAGCTGGAGCAGGTACCTGATAAGTCGGTCAAGATCAACCAGAAGGGCATGGTGGAGGATATTCAACTGATCAACGCCCCAGCCGGACGACGCGCCATGGTCAACGAGCTGTGCGCCGAGAAGGAGATCTCTGCGCTGAGGGCAGTGGCGGGATCCCTGAACTACATCGGCCGAGAGACGCGCACCGACCTGAGCGGACCGGTCTCGCTGCTGCAAAGCACCTTTCCGATCCCGAAGGTGTCCGACTTGCTGGAGGGTAGTAGGGTGGCGAGGATCGCGAAGGACTTCGCCAACGCGACCCTCTGGATCAGGCCGATCGAGTTGAAGAACATGGGTTTCTACGCGGTGGCGGACGCAGCATGGGCTAACGCGAAGGACCAGGCGAGCCAGGCGGGCTGGATCCTCATGGCAGGGGACCTGCAGATCTGCGACGGACTGTGGGGCAAGATCTCTCCATTGGCGTGGCGGTCCCATCGACTCGCTCGGAAGGTGCCGAGCTCGCTGGCGGCTGAGACGCTGGGCGTGGACGAGGACCTGGCGAACGGCATCTACCCGCGCAGCATGTTCGCGCAGCTGGCCTTTCCTGGACTGGATGCCAGGACGGCGCCCGAGGCGGGAAAGGCGTTCCCGCTCACCGTGGTGACAGACAGCAAGTGCCTGTGCGACCGCTTGCACAACATCTCCGCCGGCCCGAGCAAGGACCGCCGGACCGCGCTGGATATCGCTATCCTGAAGGAGAGCATGCGAGAGAGCGGCGCCGGCATCCGTTGGGTGGACGGCAAACGCCATCAGATCACCGACCCGCTGACTAGGCGGAAGGGATATTGTACAAGGGAGATGTTGTACAAGGGAGAGTTTGTGATAGTGGAGGAGGAGAAGGCGCTCGAGATCCGGGAGACGGAGAGAGCCTCGAGGGTGACCAGGAGGGAGCCTTCGGAAGGCTGGCGACCAAGAGTCCGAGGGGCCCGAGTGCTGCGAGGGGTACATCACCTACGAAGACCTGTATGCTATCGCCCAGCGCTGCGCGCTCGCTTCAGTTCTAGCTGTAAGGATGTATATGCGGGCTTCCCACATTCATATCAACGCGCTACGCGCGACAGCTTGTTTCCACCCTGTTCGAACCCCTTTCGAAGTAGTGGAGGGAGGCTGACTACAGGTGTCTTGGCTTCTAGAATTCTGGGGTGTGCGAGTTGTCCTAGGGATCTGTTAGAGGCCACCTGAGGAAACCAGACACTCAGCCCCTTCCGCAACCGTGTTCGGTTCGAGCAGGGGTTCGGCCCCTTTGGAGGCAGACGCGCGTGTCCCTGAGCTGATACCGACAACGAGATCTGCGATAGCTGCCGCTTCTGTTCCGCCGCTCCACCGTGTTTGGTGTTATTGTTATTTTTCGTCCCACAATCCACCTGTAGGGGGACATGCCCGACCTGAGACTTGTTTTTTGGTCGCACGTGTTCTTTTGGGCCGAGGTGCGCCCCTCGGCTCTCGAGCCGTGTTCTCTGTCGGGGGAGTTTTGCTTGGCCAATCCGCGCTGTTGGGTGAATCCCCGCTGTGGGGTTCCCGCCCGAGTCTTACGCTCACTTCATGCAGGGATCGCGTTGAGGGCCAGGCCCCTTGCATGTTTGCTCTGGCATAGCGCTCTCGTGTGGGATTTCCTGGCACTTTCCCAGCCCTCCGTCACTCAACCCGCTTCCCCAAGCAGTGCTTGCGCATGGGGATTCTTATTGCGGTGGGGCGTGTCGACACTCGTCGTCCTTGGGTGTCTGGAGTCATGGTTTGGGTCTCCCGCTCTGTCCTTCCTCCTCTTTCTCCTTTTCCTCCCCCTCCTCCTGCTACTCCTCCTGCTTCTCCTTCTCCTGCTCGTCCTCCTCGTCCTCTTCTCGCTCCCACTCACACATGGCTCCAGCTCCCTTTCCCTCGCGGACATGTGGAATGCCAGGTGATCTCCGGTCTCGAGGGTGCCTGGGTTAGGGGGGGTTGTTCGTTTGGTTTGCCTCCTTTTCCCCTGGGCTCTCTTCCTCGTCCCTCCTGTTGTTACCTTGGGTCTGGCGGAGACTGGGGGGAAGGGGCCCGGACTGTGCTGGTCGATCGTAATCGTCCCAATTGTTGTTTATGAGGATTTTGTTTTTTCCTTTTTTTCCCATTTGCTTTCGTCCTGCTCTTTCAGTCCTGTATTGTATGGGTATCACCACTCTGCCTTGAACTGTCAAACGATAGGTAGAGGAAGAGGAGGAGGAGGATGGTGGTGAGGAAGAGTAGGAGGGGAAGGAGGGGGAGGGGGACGGAGGGGGGTGGGAGGAGAGAGTAATTACCAGGGCGCCTGGCCCAAACATGCTTCGACCAGGCGCGATTTTACCAGACAGGATCCGAAGCGAGCCTTCCGTGAAGGGGCTTAGCATGCACACGCCCTCGACTTCCCGCTCGCTCTTTCCAGGCGATCGGAAACATGGATCAAGGGGGCGTGGATTAGCGACGGGTCCCGTTTCATAGGAAATCGCGGATTTCCGCCGCCGACCGAGGCGGCACCGACCGTATTTTTTGGGAGGGTATTTCCCCCGATCCATGGATTTGGCGACCGCGCACCAAATCCATGGATCGCTAATCCATGTTGGCGCGCCCCCGATCTTTCCCTGTGAGAATGCGCTGCTTTTTTCAACCAGTTGCAAGATCTGCAGTGCTGAAGGCCCAAGTGCCGGGAACTGCCCGACAGCCCAGAGGAATCTGGGAGCCCTGGGCGCTGTGAGCGCTTTGGGCAAAAGCGAGTGCGGAGGCATACAGGATACACATGTTGCAAGAGCCCGTGTCTTCGCGGTCTTTCTTCATCGAGGAAAGAAGTATGCACATGCACCGATTCTGGCCAGGCCCATCCTGAGCCCAAGATCTGTGCATACGACCTCCTGCTTTGGCCAGGAAAGCCTTTGCACCGATCCTGGGCCCAGGGTGGGCTTGGCCAGGATCGGTGCATGTGCATACTTCTCTTCGCCCGATCTTCAAAGCCCTGACAGATGCAACTGCCACTGTTGCTCCGTCTCCCCCTCTCCCTCCGCCTCCCCGTGCGTGATCGCCTGCCGAGTGCCTTCGGGACGAGAACCGCGCGAAGCTGAAAAAGTACTTCAAGTACTTGAGGCCCGAAATCCGAGCAGGAGAGGAGGAGGAGAAGGAGGAGGAGGAGGAGGAGGAGGGAGGAGGAGGAGGAGGGAGGAGGGAAGAGGGAGGAGGGAGGAGGGAGGATGGAGGGAGGTGGAGGAGGAGGGGGGAGGGGGGGGGGGAGGGGGGAGGGGCAAGCTAGGTGCGCTCGCGTCATATCTGACGTCCTACCCCTCCCTCCCATCCCTTACCATGGCGCTGATTTTCTCTATCCGCGGACGCGTGTCGTAGCGGACCTGTGGCTCCGCGCGCGCGTGCGTAGTGGGTGGTGGTGCACGTGCGTGCGTGCGTGCGTGTGTGCGTGGTTGTCGTGGTGTGGTGGTGGTGGTGGTAGTGGTGGTGGTGGTGGTGGTGTGGTGGTGGTGTGGTGGTGGTGGTGGTGGTGTGTGTGGGTGGTGTTGGTACTGGTGCTGGTGCTGGTGGTGGTTGTGGTGGTGTGGTGGTGGTGGTGCTGGTGGTGGTGGTGGCGGTGCGGCGCGGTGGTGGCGGGCGGATCCTGAACGACGGAGGCCAAACACCGATCCGAAAATGAGGCCCACGCTGCAGCGGGACACGATTCGGAACGATTCGGGAGCAGAAATGGGGCCGGCGCCTCAACGAAAGCAGCATTTTGGGGAAAAATGACGCCAGCGCCTCAGCGAGAGTCGTTTCCCGGGATTTCCCGGGCATCCTGTGTGTAAAAAACAGTACGCGGAGGGTGCGCGGCCATCACCCGGACGCCATCAGGGGAACAGGGAGAGTAGTTTCATATTGAGTAATTGTGGAGGGGGGAGGGGCAAGTTAGGTGCGCTCGCGTCATAGCTGACATCCTACCCCTCCCTCCCATCCGTTACCATGGCGTAGATCCCCTCTCTACTCGCACAGTCGGATGTCGAGCAGGGCAATGATCCCGAAAGGGTACGCGATGCATTGTAGAACACGGCATGGCATGGCGTAGAAGAGCACCGCAAAACGTAGTATGTCACAGCTTGGTGTGGCGTGGCGTAGTGAAGAATTGCATCACAAAACTTTGCAACGCAAAGCGTGGCATCGCACAGCGGCCCCGAACATAACATTCATGGGCTTGCGCCGCACCGCCGACCCCTTGGGACTCCTGGTAAGCCCAGGGGGGTTCCTTTCAGCACCAACATTCTGTCTCTCGCTATCTCGCGCGTGGTCTTATTCGTGCACTGTGTCGCAGCCGTCACCGTCGACATAGTCAGGACCTCCATCGCCACCAAAGTGGTGGCACACGGAGCACGCCCAGAGGGATCGCGATCCTCCTCCTTCCAGCCACGCGACAAGAAACCCAACGTTTTGCAGTTCTGAGGAACGCTGTCGCTGTGAGTATCGTGTTCGGTGGAGCCCCCCATGTCGCCGCGACAAAACGCCGCCGGCCGCTGCTGCGTCGCACCAGGCCCGCCCTCAGCAGCCGCCGAACCAGGCCGTCGCGCGAATCTTCATATGTTACGATTATATATTCAATAGTAGTATATATATACATATGCATATATTATATATACATATACACATCCAAGTCTATATTGTACACACACGCGCACATAACATGGGCAGGCATGCGTGCACAGAGGTGGCACTGCGCGGTGCCGCTCGGCAGCGTGGTTTTTCGTTCCAGAATGGGCTCGTGGTGTGTTCATTCGGCGCCAGGTAGTCCCATTCCTTCCCAAGGGGGGAAGTGGTGAGGAAAGAGGAAGCATCCTCGGTGCGTAGTGAGGCCGCCCATCCTCTGTGCCTCAGCTTCCGTAGCCAGTTTCGGCCCTTGCTGCGCGCGCGCGCAGGGTCCCCGTCCATGCGGGGCGCGCGGCAGCCGCAGCGATGACTGCAGGGCGTCTGCAGGTCGATCGTGTCGGAGTTTTCTTGGAATGCCGTTCCGTCGGTGTTTTCTCCTCGAGGCTTCTTGGGCCGTCGTGGTACGGTCTTTGGGGGCTCTTGCGGTCCAGGAGCAGGGGGCACCCCAAGAGGCGCACGTGTGAAACAACTATACGTTTTACGAGAGGAACGAGCTTGGATGCTTCTTGGAACGTCTTGACGCCGTCTTGCGGCGCAGCTTGGATGCCTCTTGGAACGTCTTGAGGGCCTCTTGAGCAGTCTGGAGGCCGTCGGCAGTGTTTTCGATCGCTCTGGGACCGTGTGGGACCATGTGGAGCTCTCTTGGATGCCACTCGGAACGCTCCTGGAACGCTCTTGAAACCGTTTTCGGAGCCCTTTTTGGGCCGTCTTGGACGCCTGTGGGCCCGCTTGGGGGTCCTCTAGGGCTATTTGGGAACCCGCTTGGAGGCTTCTTGGGTGAGTGCGCCGCCCGCTGCCTTCCTGCGCCCGCCCTCCGTCCTCTCTTGCCCCATCGTGCGGTAGTTCGCCTTTCGTGCGACTCAGTTTGGGGCCTCGGGCGCGCCGCGCGATGGCCAGAGCCGCGACAAACAGGTGCCACGGGAGGCAGGCCAGGGGAGGGCCCTGCTGTTTCCCAGTGTGGCATGGTGCGCTTGTGTTGGACCAGTGATTTTACCCCTTCCTACATGCACATCGCCGATCGCCAATGTGGCTCGAGCGCGTTCCGAAAAAAGGGGGCGGAACGCGAGCCCAATGCTGATGACATCGCATGGCCGTGCTTCTGTCGTCCAGCTTGCCTGTCCTGTTCTGATCTGAGGGAGGGCAGCGCGAAGGTCCTGACGAACTAACCTCCTGGGGAGTGGCAGGGCTCCCCAGCTCAGAGAGCTGCCGGGGTCGATGATGGGAGGACGGCCTGCTACCAGAGGAGGAGTCTGAGGAGGAGGAGGAGGAGGAGGAGGAAGAGGAATAATAATACTAATGATGATGATAATAATAATGATAATAACAACACTACTAGTAATACTAATAATAATCATAAGGTTATTAAACATTACTCTAATACTAGTAGTCGTCACAACAATAATAAAAGGGAGGAGGAGGAACAATAGTAATAATGGGCGAATGAGGCCCCTGGGCCCCTGGTGAGGAACCTTTTTTTCCTCTCAACATAGCAATTGGGCCAACATGGCCTTGAGCCACTTCAGCTCCATAACTTTGCTAGCTCGCAAAGGGCCCCACTAGCCCCCCGAACGGGGGCCTTCTAGGCGGGCAACTTTAACCCGCCAAGTATTTCACCGCACCTTTGGCACGGCACACATTCACACCTCTCTGGGGCCTTGAGCGGGACCCCGAGAGACCTCATTAGGGCATACATACACGCGCACCCCCTCGGAGTTGTGTCGCAACCTCGTCCGACTCCGCTCTCATATGTTAGTGGTCCTCTCGGGCCCTTTTGCAACAGAAGCGAGCGCAAACCGCTCGCCAAATCAAGTAGCATTTCGCAGCACGAAAAACTCGCTAGCGCCACCAAGGCTCCTCAGCCTTCAGGCGCCCAATCAAAACAAACTTGCTACCGCTGGTATCACAACGGGGCTTACACAGCCTGCTCCTTAACGCATCGATTGCCAAATCATCCGCATACATCGTTGAGCGATTCGGGCATCCGCCTGGCGACTCATATCTCCTGGGGCCCTTGACATATCCCTTGCCTGAGACTGGGGTCGGTGGATCGTCCTTCTTCAAACTCGATTTGGCGTCAGCCTTCTCGATGTAATGCCCAACGCGTAGACCTGCATAGAAAATCAAACCACCAACGATGAAAACTATCAGCATCATCACCTAGGCCGAAATAGAAGCACCGTTCAATCGGTCCACCGTCTCGATCGTAGACACATCGCCAATCGCGCTCGTGCCCTTGACCATAGCCAGTAAACCTCCCAAGCAGAGAACCATACCTCGCCGAAATTCGCCTTCGCCCCTGATAGAATCTGCCTTCGTATCTGCATGAACAGCAGAGACCTCGCAAACATCACCGCCGTCGCCATCACGGAAACCCACGGCCCACCTGTGCTTCTCAAAAGCTGCCTTCTCTAGGTATTTAGTGCCCAAATCGCGGCTGCTCCCTGCTGTCGGAACCTTATGAACCACCACGCGCCCTTCACGGAACTTGCCCTGAACAAACATGTGTCGAAGATGAACGTGCTTCAACTTCCCAAGACCACGTCGGCTCTGATATGACAGCCCAGCTGAACTATCCGACTCCTAACTGCAAACTGACCTGCTCTCCTGGAATCAACTCCCCCAGAAACGACTTGACGAACAAGCCCTCGCAGGCTCCTGAGCCCATGCTGTAGATCTCCGCCTCGGCCGAACACGTAGCTGGACTTGCCTGTGTTTTGCTTAAAGCTGAAGCCGCCGTCTCGTTGAAGTAGACGTGTCCACTCGAAGTGCGTTTCCTTTCGATCTTGTCGGCTGCCCAGTCGCTGTCTACCTTCACCTTGAGAGCGATGTTGTTCCGATCCTCTGGCACAGTCAAGTTGATGTAGTCCCTGGTGCCGCTGAGGTAGCGCGCTGCTCGCTTACGACGTAGGGCGTCTCCAACTGTCGGTTGACTCATGTCCCTGCTGGTCTCTTTCGTCGCGAACTGCAGGTCGTGCCTCTCCGCGGCTACAAACGACACCTTCCCAGTACCTGTCCTGAACTTCCTCGCGTCCTCGTCGTTGAGCAACTCCTCGCCCTCCTGTTTGGTCGCGGACTTCAAACCTGGGGTCGCCGCCGCCTTGGAATTCTGAGCTCCCATGTGCTCGAGGAAACTGTCGATAGTCTTCGGCGAAACCCGAATCGAGAAACCCATGTCATTGTTGAGCTTCCGCATGATACTTCCCAAGCAAACCTGAGAACTACCCCTTGTCATATCTGGAGTGATCTTCAGCGGGAAGTGCTCGCCCAGCGCCTCGAGAAAATCATATGGTCCTGTACCTTCACCAATGACCATGCCATTATCTACATGCCTCGCTACAACTGTTATCATATGTTCTCTGACATAGACGCATGGTTCTGAAACCAAACTCCGCATGTTGAGCTTCTCGGTGTTGATCTGGCTGTAGTGGGCGTCGAAATCCACCGTGGCCTCGTTAAGCCCGTGGATCGTG